GATATTATTTCATATAAAGAAATAAAAATTCGCTGATTCAACACTGACAATTTGTAAGAATAATCTAAGAAAGAGAAAGCAAATCCACGCGAATTTTTACGCAATTGTATGAAGGGAGAGTTGTGAAGTAACGTAGTGAAGCAGAAGCTTGCAAGCGTCGGCACTTTGGCATGCACTGAGGATAAATCTCTTCGTTGAATTTTTTGTCATCTTCCTTGGTTTTTTTTCATCACTTTTTCTCTTTTATAAAAATAGTATTCAATCTACAGTAAAGACCCTGGATTTTCATGTATGCATTATATGAATTGATTTTTTCTACATCTGCGAACAACATAAACGTGATTATAAAAGTAAAAAAGAAAAAAAAATGATATTCAGTGTAAAAAAAAAATGTTTCTAATCTCTCAAATAGGTCAGAGCTTTAAAAATAAGGTCGTTCATTCTTGTTAAAAAATAAAAAATTGATTACATGAAGCTTTGAAAAGATGCATAAGCATCATAGTAATAGACTATAAAAAAATTTATAGATATTGGTTAGATATCATACAAGAATGCAGTTGTGGAAAAATCTTGGCTTGAGATTATCCCCGAGGAGACGTTAGACATTTGCACCGTTGCTAGGGAGTCGGCTTATGTTGCATCATATCAACAGAAGTCCTTTTAGAATCGAAAGTGAGTGGACGATCGACGATCTCAAGTATGGAATAAAATAGCCACACTATTTCCTTCAGATTACATGAGATCAAGCAAATAGCATAAGAGCTACTTTCACGTACTTTATTATTTCAACCTTTACTTCCTTCTCCATATGCTGAAAATAGCCTTGAACATCTGCACCATTATTATTTCCATCTTGAGCCTTATTTTTATCAAATAAATTCACTTTTTTATTTTATTTCTCAAAAGAAGGAACACCAAAAAAGTTTTTTAAAAAGCTCGGGTAATTTTGGGGGACGATCATTTACAGTAAGAAAACGATGGGGGTTGTGAACTCGGTAAGCCACGAGGTCATTTCCTTTGGAGTAAAGTCTAAAGCCTGAAATCAGCTTACACCAATAGGTAACCGGACATAAAGGCCAAGTAGTCTTCGTGAAGGCTGCCAGGTCTGACTTTCTTGTCTACTCTTTTCTCTCCCTCGTGTCTTATAAAACCACAATGGCACCTTGGCTTCTTCTTGCTCTCCTCCTTCTCTTCTCGATCTCAGTAACGCGAAAGTAAAAAAGTGGAAAAGTCTTGCTGGTAGTAGAGAGAAGAAAGTAGGTTGGCAGAAAGTAGACGAGACCAGTGGCTGGTGCGGTACCAAAGAGTAAAACAAGAAGGATCGAAAGACAGCAATGGGCGAGGTTAGAAAAAGAAAATAAAAAGAATCAGAGTGCAGGTCCGACCCAACGACTATATCGTCTTTATACTGGAGAGAAATGTGGATAAGTATGTGAGTGTGTACGAGACGTTGATATGTGTATATGTGTGTAACACTAAAATGTGAGCGTGCAACCGTAACACGTTCGCGGTACACGAACGTGCGCTTTTACAATACATTCGTGGCATACAGAGTCACAAAGGAAAGGAAAGCAGAACGAATGGGTGGAGAGAAGGAATAAAGGGGTAAGGGATTGTCGACAAGATTTATCGAAAAGTCGAGAAGTTGCCGACTGAAGCGCTGGCGCCAAGACTGCTCCATTCTGCACCACGATGCAACTATTCTGATCTTTTAACAGAGACGACATGGACCTTGGAGAGAGATGGATAATGTTTTAGACGGGATTAACTGTCCTTTAGATAAGGATTTCACTAGTCTCGATAAAGCATGACCCCTGCCACAACCATCCATCCGTCTACTAACAAACGTCTGTCTTACACTAATCACTGTCAGCCTCATGTTAAATATAATTGACATTTAAAAACATCAAGTGTCAATTTTTGCGGATTATACCGTGCTAAAGTTAAGAATAGAACTTATTAAATTTCAATGCAGAAACCCTGTAAGTCTTTAAAGTTATTTGCATTAACCTACGGAAATTAATTGAAGGTAAACTGTATACTTGACTTGAAGCTAATTTTACTGAGCAGCTTGCAAATTGCAAATTGATCGCTAAGAAAAATAAATAGACGATTTAAGTAGAAGGAGAGGTGAAGGCAGAAAGAAGAAGCACGCGGTGGGTGAGACAAAGTTTTTCGATCAATTTCATCTCCCACAGGAAGTCTCTTAATTTCAAAGAGTCAAACTTTGGAAAATCTTGTAAAGTCCTAGTGAATTCCAAGCCTGATGTCCACGAGAGAGCAAAAAATTGAAAAAAAAAAACATTGAAATCAAGAGTTCAATGCATATATACGCGCGAGCAAATCGAAGCAGAGGGCCAGAGAGAATGGAAAACGGCGGACAATTCTCTCGACAATTTAGTCGGGCAGAATGCCAAGTTCGGCAAAGAGAAAAGTACCAAGAAGTAAAAATGGGAGACTACTAGTCGATTCAACTAATTCAAGTTGCTTAGCACGATTCGACGACTTCCCTTAACACTCCCTCTTCCCTCCCCATTTCAGTTGAAACCGTTTCTATAGATATGTATACGTTATATCTTATAACAGTACTCAAGTTCACAATAATCTCAATGCAGATATTCTCGGTGTTGCCTCAACATTATGCATCCAAAAGGTAGTCTTGGGTGTCCGAGGTGGGTCGTGAACTGTCTCTACGTTGTTATTCGTTATACGAAGACGCAGGACTGTTATAACTTGAATAAACTTGGTGGTGCACCCTCGAGCACATTGAACACACACCGATACAGTTGGACAGTCTCTTTGCTGTCGCGAAAGACCGATATAACTCCTTCTCGAATCGAGTTAGTGTTTCTTGCGATTTAATTGGCCGCCTGCTGCTTCGAATCGTTGCCTTGAAGCCTTGGAGTTAGTCTGGGTTTCGCATCTACTCCTTTGATGTCGTTCACTCTTCCGTGCGACTAAATTACTATCATAAGAATCTGCTGTAACGAAAAGCTGCCACACCTCTCTACTAGATATCTCTTTGTATTTTCTTTGATATTATTCAAGAAGTTTCTGAATAAATTAGTTGAAAATTGATTAATTTATTGAATTTATATACTTGCTTGATACACCTGATTACACATTATCAGGATTATATATATCTTTCATGTAATATTGCTCGAGAAGTTCAGTAAATTACATGGATTTACAATTTTCTCTTATCCGCCAATTATCGATTACTTGTTAGATCGCTTCTTTGCTAATTATTAGTAATATTACTTGTAAACAACCTCAGAGATGCTTGATTCAATTCTATGCAGAGCTTATTTGCAATTTCTCTTGTTTCATCTATTTTTGATGCTTTAATGAAAGATTTTTTATCAAGCAATTATTATTCCTTAGCGACGCATCTTGTAAGCTGTAGGAAATAAACATAGCTATAATTTCATTGAACATTCTTTAAAAAAATCCGGAAGAATTTATTGAGTACCATTTTTTTCTACAAACTTAAATCTTTTTTTTCTCTTACTTTTATTTTCATGTCAACATCAATTTTTTATTAAATTCAAATAATCATTTCACTCCAAGTTATTTTTTATCAAACTTATATGCAATCAAATAAATGCGAATTTTTAAATTTAAAAGGAAGGAGTATTATTGAAACAAAAAAACTTTATCTTTAGCAGTTATCAATCTTAAATCGATTGTATGGCAAAGCGTCTAAACTCTAAACCTTGGCAAACAAACTTTCCTGTAGAAATACGTAGCTTGCTACCAATACATAACTCACCTTTAACAGCACAGTAGGTCAATAACAAAATAATATCGAAAAAAAGATGTCATAAAACATTCACCAACAATTTATTCATAAGTTAACACCGTTCAAAGTCATAAAGATAATTTGAGCCATCAGAGTCCATAGATAAACATGACAGGAGTGGGTGCAGAAAATCGAGTGAACGTCAGAGGCTTTATTACGAAGCAGAGTTAGGTAGATGCAACATTAAATAGAATTACAACTGACGGGATCTCTTTTCGCGCGGTGGCGATGAAAATGATAAGTCGAGATTTGCTTGGTTATTGTGGTGGTAGCCTGGTGATACGCCGCGGCGAGCTCATTTGTGCGACGTCAGGCAGCGCAGCGAACGAAGCAAATGAAATTTCTAGGGTAACGTTACACCTTGGGAGCATGAGCGCCGAAGCGAGCATACTATGGCATTGTATACCTCCGGAGAGAAGACACTCGATCGTAGGACTCCATTTGCGGTTTAGCATAATGGGAACCCAACGCGCCCGGGCCCCAAGGCCACCCGCGCATTCGCTCAAAGCGCTCGGGTGGAAGTAGAGAAAGACGATGGCGATGCCACTACTCCCATCTGCCCGGATCTCTGCGCGACGTTAACGCGACCACATTCAGGGGATAAAAATAAATAAGCTAGAAAGAGTGAAGCGTGGTTGGAAAGTAGACACCCGCTGGGGATACCACCGACAATGCTCCATGCAGCACAAAAGTATTTTCTCGAGACAGCCGCGGGAGGGTGAGATAAAGAATAAGAATAAAAGTGTGTTTAGGAAAAAAAACTTTTATCCGTGCATGCTTGTCTCTGTCACGACAATCATTTGCTTCTTGAATTAGTAATTAGTTGGAATTGAAACTAGAGATTATCTCATTCAGGATATTTTTTTCGACGTGATTTTTTGGTTGTAACTCGGGTATTTTGAAACTCAAATTATGCTTGAGTACAAAACAAATATCCCCAGATGTCTATTCAATATTTCTCGAGGCGAATAGATAATTTACATGACAATTCCAACGCTTTCATGGATATTATCAGCATTTAAACTTGACAATAACCAAGAAGGCTTTACAAAATTCTCTTTTGTTAAATAATTGTTTTCACAAAAAAAAATTACTCTTCTAGTACATATGTATTTGATCCATTTTGACTGAGCTTTGCTAATTGATAAAGATGTTTTGAAAGAAGAAAAGTAATTGAGACAATTAAAAAATTTTTCAGATCGCGAGGAAGTGATGAGGGGTGTCGGATAAAAAAATCGTCGCGCAGGCGCCTGATCCGAGTCCCGGAAAGATGCCGCCATTCTCCAGGGTCCTACTGAGCCCATTGCTGCTTTTAGTGCTTACAGCAGGCAGCCTGGCTTACAATTCACGGCAACCAGGTGAGAGAATGATAATGTTCTTTCCATATATCCTTGTCTATCGCATAATTTTGGCTTTTCGTGTCCCTAGAGATGACGTATGAACTGTTAGAGTACCGGAACCTTTGAACGACCCACACGAATAGTACGAATATTAACGCATCACTGTGTGCAAGTTGAGTCTTCTATGAATAATGTATGACCAACCACGAAATGCACGAGTGGACTACTAGCTTTAAAATTGCCACTTTGGAAAATTTTCCTTCCCTCTTCCTTGTCTCACTTGATACCTCGGGTCCAGTCAGTTCTCTCTCCAATCTTTGAAACGATTTACCTAAAATTGAATTACACACTCGGCTTATTTCGTTCCTTTCTCTATTATTACTATTTCCATTGCAAATGTCTCCCAACTGTCGAAAATTCATCCAGAAAATTTTCACAAGTCTCTACCCACAACTACAGTCGATGTCCTTAAGTTGATTATTTTTTTATGTCAATATTAAATCTGATATATTGTAATCGCTAAGTTGCGTGCTAAATGTCCGACCAAAAAAGTAGAAAGTTTGTAATCTTACTAGTACTTTGAGACTTATAAAAGTTATATAGAGAAAACCGGCAATAATTAGCGGTTCAGAACATTGTGTACTTTGAGAGAAGATTAACATGAGAAAAGTAGTATATTGTGAAACATTTTTATAAAAATAGTGATAATGATCCTTCTTTCGAATGTTTTTCTGATAAGCTTTTGCTTGTCTTGAGGTTAATTTGTTCAGTAAACTAGAAAAAAAGAGCAATACAAGTGTAAGCTATAATAAAACAAAACGGAAAGTGATGATAGAAAAATTTTAATTTTAAGTCATCTTTAAAAATGAATAATTTAGGGTTCAGTCACAACTCATTATTTTTTTTGAATCTTTAAAAATGTTTTCTATTTATAAAAAAAATGAATACTTAATTTACTATTTATAGAACTATTTTTGAGTAAAAAAGTTTTAATGTAAACTTGGTACTTTCAACACATTTAGATTTACCAATTTATATTTCATTTTATTTTATTTATATTCTATGTTCTTATAGTACGTTTTATTTTTTTATTCATTACACAAGATCGATGTGAAAAACCGAAATTGTTAAATGTAACAGAATTATAACTGAATCCGCGGTAGAATAAAAAGCTTTTACATCGCTAAAAACAATTTTTAATTCAAAAGTAGCTTTTTAAATTTTATATTCTGCCATTAATTTATTTTTTCTATCTTTCATCATTTTTACGGTTCTCTATATATTCCATTAAATTTATAAACATTATTCTGCTGGATTAACTTTCAAAAAAGTCATGATTAATCTATATCATATTTACGATATTGGACAGGCTTTAATACTAAGTTGAGTGAATCAGTAGTATTTTCTGCTTTACCTCGTTAGTGTTGATGCACAACTAAACTAACGTGACAGGAGTTCTCATCTTGAACGAGGTGGAGTTACAATATATAAACACATAGTGTCCTAGTTATCTCAGCTACAAGGATCAAGGACTTTAGCACAGGTCTTTATTGCACACAAAAAGCCGCAGGGAGTCGATGACTCATGCTTTCTTTCCGCCTCCAACCACGGACACTCACCCCTCATGGCTTTATAGCCTTCTCTACAAACGTTATCAAGAGTCTCTAGTTTTCATTTCGATGAATTATTATGTGCTGGCAAAGGACTATATATTCTCGATCTCTTTTAAATAGAAAGCATGGCTGATATAATTGCGGAAATACTCACATCAGATATATCTTTTCACCCTTTTGCATTGAGAGAAAGTTCTAGCTGTGAATGCGTGAAAAAAAATTTGCTAAAGAAATATCACCTTTTTTACAATAACAACAACGATATAAATGTCTAGACGAATACGATAATTGATCATTTTTGTCATAAAAAAAATTTCCAATAGAAATTTACGGTAGAAAAGTTTGTTTTAGATAAAAAAGAATTTGTTAGCAATTAGAGAATTTGAAAAAATAAATATTTACAATAGAAAAAACTTTTTAGTAGATTAAAAGCTGCTAATCGGAATGGAAAAATTATATTTGGATTCAATTTATTGACGTGATTCTAAAACCTGTAATCAAAAAATTATATAATCCTAGCAAATATTTATTTTATAAACAAAAGATAGTATGAAAATAAGCTAAATAGACTTATTTATGGAATAAAAATGAAAAGTAGATGAGGGAGATAAAAATTTTTGATTAATTACCTAGTTCTTTTGAAATTAATTATTACCAAAATAATTCATCGAAATGAAATGTTGACAGGCACTTAATTCATCAGAACAAAGAAAAAATTTTCTTGTAATTTTTTTGTTGCGATAACAGATGATATTCATCACAATACGCGATTTTACTTTCCATTCTTTTAATTTAGTAAAACCCACTATTACATGTAGTAACAGCGTTAACTAGATCACGTTCCTAATATATAATGAAACAAAAAACAGGGAAAATACACATACCAGCATATTCACAGAAGTGTGTCCTGGTAAATGGACGGTTGGACTTGACGCGTGACAGCACAAACACCCGGGTACTACTTGATTGCTACCACGCATAACATGTTGTCGTGTTCCTGCCTTCAGGACTGAAATTTAACGTGAAAAAGCCGCTATGAATATAAAGCGGGAGAGAAATTATTATAGAGAGACATAAAGTAAAACAAGGGAGTACGGGACAGTGCGAGAGGTGGAAGAGAGAATGAACACAAGAGGGAATAAAAGATAAAAGAAGTATCTAGGAATGGACTATACCCATACTAAATTTTGTTTGTAGAACGCAAAATGACGTCGAGCTAGAATAGAAGTAGTGAGACAAATGGTCTCGCATACTTAGTGAGCATTTGACTGAGACAAACTACCATACTATAACGCACGGGCCGACCCTTTTCCCTAGAGTTTGCATTCCTGAAAATCCACTGAACACCCTCTTGAACTTTCCTTCCATTCCAAATTTTCCCGACACTTGAGCTTTCTTTGACAGACTGCTGTAAATACATGGTCAAAAATGTGTATTAATCCTACGTAGTTTCCACGTTTAAAATACTCATTCCGAACACATTACTCAGCTCTCTGACACTTTAGACTTCGCAAGTTAATTCAGCATCGAGTTTCAAGGCATTTTACATGCAACAGATATATTTTTTTTTATAAAGTTTTTTATGTTGTGCTTATTATCATTACTGACCTATCCAACAATTCGATCAACAAACTGAAAAAAAAATTTTTCTTTTGAACGTCAGTCGTATACATTTAAATAAAAAATTTAATTTATCATCACTTATCTTCATCATTAATCTAAAATAATTACTATTCTGTAAAGAAGCTGATAAATATAATTAAGTAGAATAGAAGTGACGGAAACTTTTGCTTTTATGTCTAGATTTTCAGGCGAAGTGAATGCCACTCTGTAAAGTTAGCATAAGTAAAATCTCTGCTTCCATCTAGGTTTAATGACAGACTTTTACATGATAAAATTACCCTATGTTTTATCCATTATATTTTCTCATTTTATATTTTCCTCCGAATTAAATTCGTATAGTTATAGTATCTAAATAATTTAATTTTATATAATTACATAAATCATCCTAGAACTCATGTAAAATGAATAAATTACCAATAATTATAATATTGATGAAATCAATGACAATGGAAATAATAAATATTCAATCAACCGTGATCATTGCTTCGTTAAATTATATTACTACTAGACGTGTAGTTTATTACAATCTAGTATTTCAACAATTTTCGCTATTTACTTTTATAAATTGAATGATGCATAAATATTAATTAATAGTGTTGAGAATATAGCATATGAAATTTAGAAAGTTCAATGCAATTAATAAAATTGAATTTAAATACAATACATATGGATTATGATGCAATAATGATTGGATAATGAGAAAATAGTAAAAAAATATGGCTGTTTGATTCATTTATCGATATAATCTAAAAAATTCCTATAAGTTATCATAATTTAGTATGATATGAAAGCACCATTCTGTCTCTGCGATACAGCAAATTAAATTAGATGGTTCTTGAGTCTTGAGTACACCTTTAGATACGAATTTTATGAAAGACTCTTATGAAACTTGTTGAGAGATTCAGCATAACGGCACTTTTCAACTAAACACTCGAATTTCAATAGAAACACAACGTAAAAGTGCCCAAGTGACATTGTTCGATGTTATTTTCGTGGCGATTTTTCTTTTGAAAAAAAGCAACTCTGGCGACATAAAGTCGCCTTGGGACATCTTACTCTTTGTGCTGTTGGACACTGGCGTCTCGCTTGTCTTTCCTGCGACGCGTCGTATTTTCGGCACGCAAGAACTATTCCACTGTCGCGTGACAAACTGTCATTTCGTCTATTCTCGATCGCAGTACGTTTTGAAAAAAGGGCACTCTCAGCAAAACCAAGATAACTCGTTTCAAACAGATTTTCATCAAATTTTTATGTCATCCGCGTAATATTTGCATAAAAATATCAACGTGACATTCAAATATTAATAATTGTCATGACTCTTTACCAGTTCATTAATCACTCATAATTCAAGATTATTTTGATAAAAGAATAATAAAGCACTGGCCGCTATTTCTCATTGTTTTATGGCCTACAAATGATTGAAGTGAATAATCACCGGATAAAATATAGTAATTAGTCACTGAAAAATTCCCAGTTTTCTTTTCATTGTTTGCTTCTATAATTCATTTACTAAACATCAAGTTATTAAAGAACAAAAATTTCTCTAATAAATAAATCAATGAATTTATTAGTAGAGAAAATTTTGAAATAGAAGTGGATTCAGTCTTTGAAAGATGAGTCTAGTAGTAGAGTAGCTTAACACATATTATTGCCAGACTGAGATATATTTATCCTAGAAAAAAATTTGGCATTAAAATGGCAATGAATGTCAAGAATCATTATCGCTTAGATGATCGATAAACCTGTAAATTATTCCAATAAAAGTATAGCAAATTCCTTACT